GGTATAAATCCAACCTCCTCTTCTTTTACCTCACAGGGTGTCTGTTGTGGGGAGGGGAAGGGAAGGGAGTTTGTGAGCCGCTCTGAGACTCCTTTGGGTAGTGAAGGGCGGGGTAGAAATCCAATCTCTTCTCTTCTTCTGCCTCACAGCCAGGGTGCCTGCTCTGGGGAGAGGAAGGGAAGGAGATTGTGAGCACACACACACAAAACCTTTATTGGCACTGAAAGCACAAGACATCATGGAAATACGGGAAAATACTAAGAGGCATCAGTCACTCACACTTGGCTATTCGAGCCTCGTCTTCTGATTGCATAATATAAAAATTTTGCACCAGCCTCCATTGTTTCGCAATTAGAAGTAAACAGAAGAAAGTGAACAGCTGAGTCATCAGAGTGCCAGCTCTCGCCCTCTAGAAGTGGAGTAATAAAAAGAGATCGGATATCCCTGTAGAGGGGGCAATGAAGTCTGGTGTGTGTCGTGGATTCTGTATCTTTTAGAGAGCAGGGACAAAGTCTGTCTACATATGGTATCTGGCGGTACCTCCCTAAAAGCACCTCCAACGGCACAACATGAAAGCATGCAAGCATGGATGCCCTGTGCTGATGGTGGGGCTGTTAAACTGGATGGAGACTTCGCTTTAGAGCCCGTGTCAAAAGACCCCAACCTGTAAGCCGCTCTGAGACTCCTTTGGGTAGTGAAGGGGTGGGATAGAAACCCAATCTCCTCCTCCTCCTCTTCTCCTCCTCCAGCGGGTGACAGGAAGGATGTCTCCAGGGCCGTTTGAGGTGCAGCTGGCTTGGTCTGGTTTACCCTCCCACCTCCCCAACAACGACCCTTTGAGGGAGGCCTGTCTTACCCCAGTTTAGAAGGATAGCCCAGTGCTGCCAGACTTCTGGGTCTTCACTGCTCGGGAGGAGCTCTGTCAGGGAGGTTCTAACGAAAGGAGGCCTGAATGAGGCCCGGAGGCAAAGGCTCTGAGTCCCCCGCAGTGTGTCACTCCTGCCATTCCGCCGGCCCCGGGGCCCCATTTCCACACCAGAAGGGCACTGGTTTTTGACCCTGTCGTTGCCTGGGACAGATTGGTGCCATGGTTAAGTGCGCGGACTCTGATCTGGGAGAACCGGGTTTGATTCCCCACTCCTCCACTTGCACCCGCTGGATGACCTTGGGCAAGCCACAGTTCTCTCAGAGCTGTTCTCGAAAAAGAGCCATTTCTGTCAAGGGCTCTCTCAGCCCCCTCACAGGGTGTCTGTTGTGGGGAGGGGAAGGGAGAGGAGTCTGTAAGCCGCTCTGAGACTCTCTTGGGTTGTGAAGGGCAGGGTATGAATCCAATCTCTTCTTCTTCTCTCCCCCCC